ACAAATAAACAAACTATTCAACAGAGATTACTACTTTATACATATATTGAAACACATTACACACAAATTCACGTTAAAAAATCATTTTTCGTCAATAATGCCCCTTAGGCCCGGAGTAAAGATACTTTCTATTATGATAACTATTTCTTTATTGCCTAATAGAGTTTTATAATAGCTAGCTAGTTGTTTTAGGCAAAAATCCGAGGGCCATATGACAAATATATCGATACAATTAAGTTGTTGTAGAAACATTTTTCTTCACGCACGGTCCCTTTTAAATATGGTTTAAAGGTTTGATTGTTTACCTTCATATTAAGGCGAGATAAAGAATAATGAATGTTGGGTTGAGTCTCTGGAAATTATATATAAATATTTTCTCAGATAGGGATGTTCAAATCAAAGTGAACTCGGTTAGGATGTTCAAAAAAAATAAATCCACTGGTAAGATTAATGAAAGCCAAAAAGAAAAAAATCGACCCTATCCGGTTCCGTGTGATACATGTTTTTAGACCAATTTTGTCAAAATGTTATACACAAAGTTTTTAAAGGATTAAAAAATTCAAACAGCACGTCGGAAAAATGTTTCAAGAGAAAATACTTTTTAAAAATGAGATAGAAACTAGAAACTAGAAACTAGAAACTTGAAACTTGAAACTTGAAACTAGAAACTAGAAACTAGAAACTAGAAACTAGAAACTTGAAACTTGAAACTAGAAACTAGAAACTAGAAACTAGAAACTTGAAACTAGAAACTAGAAACTAGAAACTAGAAACTTGAAACTAGAAACTAGAAACTAGAAACTTGAAACTAGAAATTAGAAACTAGAAACTAGAAACTAGAAACTTGAAACTAGAAACTTGAAACTAGAAACTAGAAACTTGAAACTAGAAACTAGAAACTAGAAACTAGAAACTTGAAACTAGAAAAAAAAATTCATTTATTTTTATTTTCAAAATTAGCCATAGTGTGATTGAAGGATGGACAAGGAATGGAAGATCAAGAAGAAAGGATTAAAAACAAGAAATATAGAAGTCTCAAAATGTTTCCATCTGATATCATATTAAAATTTAAAAATATTGTAAAATTTAATTAAAATAAATTATTAAAGTTAAAAAGTTTTGAACCACCCTGTTTATGTTTCATTAAGTTTAAACAACCCTGGTAATATTTAAGTAGGTTTTGAATAACCCTGTTAATGTTTAATTTTGTTTTGGACAACCCTGTTAAAATGTAATCTATTCTTGGACAACACTGTTAAAATGTAATCTAGTTTTGGACAACCCTGTTAAAATGTAATCTAGTTTTGGACAACCCTTATAAAATGTACAGTCTTGGACAACGCTGTTAAAATGTAATCTATTCTTGGACAACCCTGATAAAATGTAATCTAGTTTGGAACGATCCTGTAAAATGTAATCTTGTTTTGAACGATCCTAATAAAATGTAATGTAGTTTTTGACAACCCTATTAAAACGTAATTTAGTTTTGAACAATCATATTAAACTGTAATCTAGTTTGAACAATCATGTTAAATGTAATTTAGTTTTTAACAATCCTGTACAAGTTGGGTCTAGTTATGAAAAACCCTGTTAAAATGTAATCTAGTTTTGAACAACCCTGCTAAAGTTTAATCTAGTTTTGAACAACCTTGTACAAGTTTATTCTAGTTTTAAACAACCCTGTAAAAGTTTGATTTAGTTTTAGAAAACCCTCTACAAGTTCAATATAATTTTGTTTATTCTAGTTTTGAACAACCCTGTACAAGTTTGATTTAGTTTTGAACAACCCTGTAAAAGTTTAATCTAGTTTGAACAACCATGTAAAACTTTATTCTAGTTTTGAACAACCCTGTAAAAGTTTAATCTAGTTCTGAACAACCCTAGTGAAGAATTTAGAAGGAATTACACGACTGATGAAGGTTTAACGTGTAGACAATATATGTGTGCTACCTTTTATAGAGATCACTCATTTCAAATATTTATCTATCTATCTATCCTTACATCCTTACATGTTTTCTTCCTTCCTTTCATCCTCCTATTTCTGCATCCTTTCTTTAATCCTTTCACACTTCTCTTCCTTTAACCTTTCTTTCATCCTTTCACACTCCTCTTCCTTTATCCTTTCTTTAATCCTTTCACACTTCTCTTCCTTTATCCTTTCTTTCATCCTTTCACACTTCTCTTCCTTTATCCTTTCTTCCATCCTTTCACACTCCTCTTCCTTTATCCTTTTTTTAATCCTTTCACACTCCTCTTCCTTTATCCTTTCTTAAATCCTTTCACACTTCTCTTCCTTTATCCTTTCTTTCATCCTTTCACACTTCTCTTCCTTTATCCTTTCTTTCAGCCTTTCACACTTCTCTTCCTTTATCATTTCTTTCATCCTTTCACACTCCTCTTCCTTTATCCTTTCTTTCATCCTTTAACAATTCTCTTCCTTTATCCTTTCTTCCATCCTTTCAAACTCCTCTTCCTTTATCATTTCTTTAATCCTTTCACACTCCTCTTCCTTTATCCTTTCTTTAATCCTTTCACACTTCTCTTCCTTTATCCTTTCTTTAATACTTACACAATCCTCTTCCTTTTTCCTTTCTTTAATCCTTTCGCACTTCTCTTCCTTTATCCTTTCTTTCATCCTTTCACACTTCTCTTCCTTTATCCTTTCTTTCATCCTTTCAAACTTCTCTTCCTTTATCAATCCTTTCACACTCCTCTTCCTTTATCCTTTCTTTAATCCTTTCACACTTCTCTTCCTTTATTCTTTATACCCCCCCTTCCTTAATATTTTCATCCTTCCCTTCCCTTATCCTTTCATCCTACCCTTCCTTTATATTTTCATCCTTCCCTTCCTTTATATTTGTATCCTTCCCTTCCTTTATATTTTCATCCTTCCCATCCTTTATATTTTCATCCTTCCCATCCTTAATATTTTCATCCTTTCATCCTTTATATATTCATACATTTGGTTTGCATACATTTCTCTTGTTTTTTTTTTATTTTAAAATAAGGAAATAATCTTTTCCACATTAAATTTAAATGAATTTACTAAAAAAAAATTTAAAAGTACAATTATTGGAATTACACTTACATACACAATATACATACTACATAGTACACAATATACATACTACATAGTACAGGCCAAATTAATTCAAATGAGATTCATAATAATTTTGTAAACCAAAGATTTTCTGAAAAGAAAAGATTCTGCATCAGAAATGTTCCCAATACTGTGATCCAAAGGTTACAAGCTTTCACGCAACAAAAAACATAATATTCCCAATTACTTCTTTAAAACTAAAACAAGCTCTTTATTGTTCTAAAATAATCTGATCTAGGGCTGGAGAAAAATAATTTTGTAAGTTAAAAATGAAAGGCCATGGCGTTGCAACACTCCAAATAGATTCAACTTAGCATAGCAGTCTGTATCTATATTCGTATATATGACGTCATTGACCATAGTATTGGTTATTAAAAGAAATATATTTATTTAGAAAAGACGACATTTGTCCGTATCTTCATAAGACCAATTAAAAGCGTATTTTTAGCGTAAAAGAGCTGATGCCAAATCTTTATATCAAAAAAAAATCTTTTTGAAAATGGGACTGTAAGCGTAATTTCAAGTAACCCTTTATTGTTAGATATTCATCCCCGATTCACAATGGTACCCTTGGAAGCTTAGTGAATGAGTATATCAATGTTTGTGTGTTTTAAAAACTATTTCTCTTGTGGTTTCATTACGAAAATGACTTGCACATTTCTTGCTTCAGAAGTAATGCAGAAATTATCAGAATTAAAAACAATGGTTTTTACACACCGTTAATCAGATGAAGGTTTTAAGCCTAGATTAATTGATAAAATAGATAGGACACTTAATGTCGTCTTTTCAAGATTTGAATAAAACTCGTTCACAGAAGCCCAGATGAGTTTCGCTTAGTCAGTGCAGAACAGGCTCTCTCTGTCTTGTAATGTAATTCTACGCCGACTGCACGAAACCCATCTGATCTTCTCCCTCAGGATAATTGATAACGAGTTTCAGCCAAATCTTGAAAAGACGACATCTAGTGTTCTATCTGTTATTTTAATTGATCTATGGTTTCAAGGATACTAGTGTGAATCGGGCATGCCCCTCTTTTTAGATTTAGGATGAGCTAAAACTACGCCTAGAGTCCATTAACCCTATCTCTGCTGTGGTACTTGAAAACCAGGTTGCTGGGGGGGGGGGCAATTTGACCCCCCCTCTAAATCCCATGTTTGATGTCCCAATATGACAAATGATACATCATTGGAAAGCTCTTGTGCTCTACTTTTAGAGCAAATTTGCAAAAATTATGTTTTTTATCGCAAAATCAAGTTATATAGTAAAAATGTTCGCAAAAAAAAATTTGTCCAAAAAATGAAAAATTATACATTTTTGAAAAACCCTTAACCATGCCATTTCAAATATGCAAAAATGTTTTCAAAATTTTAAATAACCTGATTTTTAATCAAGAAAAACTAAAAATGTGCAAATTTCCTTTGACAGGTTGTTTGCAAAAAAATTGCAATTTTTTTTCGCAAAACTTGTGCAATTCGTTTNTATTATTATTATTATTATTATTATTATTATTATTATTATTATTATTATTATTATTATTATTATTATTATTATTATTATTATTATTATTATTATTATTATTATTATTATTATTATTATTATTATTATTATTATTATTATTATTATTATTATTATTATTATTATTATTATTATTATTATTATTATTATTATTATTATTATTATTATTATTATTATTATTATTATTATTATTATTATTATTATTATTATTATTATTATTATTATTATTATTATTATTATTATTATTATTATTATTATTATTATTATTATTATTATTATTATTATTATTATTATTATTATTATTATTATTATTATTATTATTATTATTATTATTATTATTATTATTATTATTATTATTATTATTATTATTATTATTACTGATAAATTACCTCCTGCATCTACCCCTAGAATCTAGAATACATGTTGTAGGAGAGATGTTAAAAGCTTTAATTCCCTCCTCGTTCTAAATATTGTTAGTTTAGAAATCATGTTTACAGAGGATACAACAAGGAAGTCATCGTCGTGAAAAATTTGGAATTATGACAAATTACTTCATTATCTCTGATGCACGTTTATAGAGAAACCACAACTGAAAATTATCAATTTTCTGGTAGGAAAATATGGAAATCTTATTAATCCTTGATCAGACAAAGGTTTAAATCATATTGATACGACTAAAGAACTAGTTTCTAAGTAAAAAACTATATTTAAAGAACAGACCCGGCCCTTCTGCCTTGGTCAAAAATAAACAATATGGTTTAAAATAAATTTTTAATGTTTACTTCTTGATAGGTTCTTTGTAATACGTCATAGTAAAATGTAACCAAACCTTATTTCCTCTTCTTTGTTTTAGTATCATTGATTTCTCTACTCCTCTTTCCTTATTTCTACTATCATTGGATATTCTTTTCTCCTTAGTTCTACTATTATTGATTTCTCTACTCCTCTCTCCTTAGTTCTACTGTCATTGATTTATCTACTCCTCTCTCCTTAGTTCTACTATCATTGGTTTCTCTATTCCCCTCTCCTTAGTTCTACTATTATTGGTTTCTCTATTCCTCTCTCCTTAGTTCTACTATCATTGGTTTATCTATTCCCCTCTCCTTAGTTCTACTATTATTGATTTCTCTATTCCTCTCTCTTAAGTTCTATTATTATTGGTTACTCATTCGCCTCTCCTTATGTATATCATTATTGGATTCTAATTGCTACTTGATGATACCTGGTTTGAGGGGTTTAATCTGGAATCTTCGATACACGTGATCTCAAACTTTTCATCAATTCCAACTAAACATATAAAAATATATTTCATTTTAGATTTAGTTTTTAAAATTTTGAAATAATTAACAGAGATTATTTTTAGATTTATTTTGATTTTAACCTTTTTTATCGTCAGCGCAGGGTTCTGAATCACCAATAGCAAAACAACTAAATAAAGTTGAATTAGACGAATCTAAAAATAAAAAATTTATTTAAAAAAAATTTTTCTCTTTATCTTACTTTATATCCGAGTCTGGGTCATTCACATTTTCAGGGTCTTCATTTACACCTTAAATATTACACCTTATAGTTTTAGTTAGTTTAGCACATAAAGGTTGCCCCCCCCCCTCAAAAAAAACCTAGTTTTGAAACCTTTTTACATCTTTTATTTGACGCTTGTCAAAAAAGGTAAAATATTAGCATTTTTAGTTACAAAAATTTGAAACTTTCAAAAGGGTCCAAAAACCTTGATCACCCGTTTTTGGGGGACACCCTGTATTTTTTGTTATTATCAATTCATACTTAAAATGAGTCTCATGATTTTTGTGTTAGTTTACCTGCGTTTAAATATACTTTTCCCTCAATACATACTGTTGGTTTACATGTACCGCTTAGATCAGTAGAAGGTACAAACATACTTCCAGCAGAACACGGTCCTGTACTGTAAACTACAAAATAAAAATTACGTTAATCTTGTAATTTCCGAACTCATGTTTTTATATTTCATATTTTCTTAAAAACTTGTTCATTAATTTAAATGCAGGGACAATCTGAAGGTTTGACATTTTTGGGACAGGGACATAATTCGTTTCTAGAATTAAAATATGAACACTTTTTTTAAAGTTAGTTTGTTATAGCCACAGAAATATTAAAATTAAGAGCAAATTGGTTATTTTGGAATTATTTTGTTTTTGATATATAATCATTACAGATTTTAAATAAAATATAGAATAGAATAATTTGATAAAATCTTTTTTCATTTTTAAGATATTCAATATATAGATGAATTTCATAAAGGCCCGATGAAAATTTCTTCTATATAGCTTACTTGGATAGCACTTTCCATCCCCTGCATGTACAGCATGGTTAGGTTTGCATGTACACATGCCGTACCCATATATATTTATGTACAGGTCTTCATTTAATCCACAAGCATCGCTATCTACCCCGTGGCACTAAATTGTAGAAATTGTGTTGCAAAATTTTTATAAAACATTGAAAATATTACCTTGCAATCTTTTTGGTAAAAAATTTCATCATTTTTGCAAGGTTTTTCTTGACAAACTGCTTCCAATGTGTTCTTCTCTTTCTTCATAACAACCCACTACAAAATTAAACAAAAAATTATTAGAAATCAGTTTTTTTAAGATGAAAAGGGGAATTGAACTCTGCTGTAGGAAAAAAAAACAAATCTATGTATTAACACCTCCCCAAATAAAGATCACGAAGTTTTCTAAACCTATGTGAATTTAGAAATCTCCAGCGGGCTTTCATAATAAAAGGAAAATGAAGACGACAAGAATACGAATTCCACTGTTTTCTGGTGCTTACTATATAATACCTGGGTTTGGTTTGGGCAAACAGAACTGGAGAAGATTTTAACACACTCTCCATTATATTCAACTTCATTATCCTAGAGAATAGAATAGGAAAAATATAAGAATGTGTATTTTCTGCCCCCCCCCCGCCCCCCCCTCGTCTCTAGAGATGGGCATCGGTTTTTTAATGAACGAAATTTTGAGAACGAACGAAATATTTCGTGATTTATGGTGTCAGAAAAAAAACAATGAACGAACGACTTAGATCGTTCATAGAAATGAAAAAACGGTATTTTTTTAAACGAAAAAAAAATTGTTAAAAAGAAAAATTTAAAATTGTTCGTACGATTTTGATCGTTCATGAACTATTTCGTTCGTTTTTTTCTAAACGAACGAATTTTCCGAAAGATTTTGAAAAAACTATTGTTTTTATTTACTGAATGTACGATTTTATTAAACGAACGATTTTACTGAACAAACGATTTTACTACACTAACGATTTATTACGGGAGAAAACGAACGAAATAAGGGAAAAATGAACGATAATTTCAATTTGTATGAACAATTAAAATAACGAACGCGCCCATCTCTTCCTGTCGTTGGTTCCAGTCTGCAATATTAAAATAAATAAATATGTATTTATACGCCAGGAGGTTGCAGCTTTGATCCTTATCGTGTCGCTCGTTCTAAATATTAGTCTTAAAAGGACTGTGAGCGTAATTTCAAAAGGAGCATTCCAGATGAAATCTTATGAAACGCTTTTAATTGTTGAACACTGAATTTGCGAGCCGTGGTATATTTAAGCACATTAAGTACCATTGTGAATCGGACATTTCCCTCTTTGCATCTAGGGCCACTTGAAATTACGCTTACAGTCCCTTTAAATACTTTAACCTCAACTAACCCAAGTAAAGATTTTTATAATAAATTTTCCTAATAACAGATTTTAGAGAAAAAAAATGTCGAATTATATTAATTATATTCGATGTCAGTTGTCACTGCGCGAGCGCGACAAATACGGAATTCACTATTATAGAGAAACCTTCATTGAAATTTAATTTTATCTAGTTATACGTATACGTATAAAAGTTCTATTTTGTTCTTGACAAGTACAGTTGTAAATCAGACATGCCACTCTATAAATTAGTTAACCCATTAGTGACGAGAAGGTCAATTTTGACCGGGTGAGGTTTTTTATATAAGTGCCTTTATTCTTAAACTAAATGTCGTCCTGTCTTTTCCTGCGCTTTCCTTAGGATTTCCTGTTTTCAAAACATATTTTATATTTGACGTAACTTCAAAATTGGTTTTTTTTAAATTTTCAATTTAAAAACCCCAAAAAATCAAGATTTTGAATTCGGTAGAAAACCAAAAGCACCCTGTAATTTAGTTTTGAATCTATAAAATTGTCAATTTTTTTGCTAGAAAAAAATTTAAAGACATTTTTGGAAACTTCTTTAAAAGATCTAAATAACTAAAACATGAAAAGTAAAGTTTTGAAGATAATAAGATAGTTATGAATTACAAAAGTTTTTTAGATTTTCATGTTTTACAGGTCACCCTGTACAAAAAAATTTAAAATTTAATTGAATATTGTTTTTTCATGAGTACAATCAAGTTTTGTTATGACAAGTTCCTTCCTACAACAACTTCACTAATAGTTTATGGTTTCGTCACTAATGGGTGTAGAATATGAGGAAATAAATGATTTAATAAATGTGTTACCTGGGAGCAATCAAGACTGTGAAACCCAAACTTAGCAATTATTCCACTCTCATCCTCATCATCCCCACTCTCATCCTCATCCTCTTCATCTCCCCTCTCATCCTCATCCTCTTCACTTTCATCCTCCTCCCTCTTCTGTTCTTCTTGATGTTCCTCATTTTCTCCCTCCTCCCTCTTCTCCTGAATGCATCGTATTTATTTTGAAGAAAAATGAAAAATTGGAAAACCTTATTTTCCACTTTTTGATCATTGTTACCTAAAAGTTTCTTATATTTTCTTGAATTTCCGAAAAAAATTCCATAAACTAATTTGCCACTTTCCACACCAATTGTTGGATAAACCGAGCTGTGAACTTTTGTGTTACTACTAATCACGATCGTTTGATCTCGATATCCACTTTGGGCACTTTTTTTAGGTAATTAATGCTTATTCTCTTTAACTCAGTTTTCCTCCCTTGATCAAAGCTCCTTCAACACCTGATCAAAGCTCTCTTCAATCCCTGACTGGGTACTATTACCATACGGGATATCGAATAAAGATTAAATTAATCTGCAGATTAACAAAAGATCGAGAGGGGGGGGATATTTAAATACATACCCCTGTGCATTGTTGAGCAGGGTGTGGAAAGGATCCCAGCCAGTTGACCAGCTCAGCTAGAGAATTACGAGAACTTGAGTCTAAATCCATCTCAGACTTTATCGTCTAAAAACAATTTATTAAATTTTGGTTTAATTATAATCATTTTAGTTAATATTTTGCAGTTTTAAATTTGGCAGTGAGTGACCCTCCCATCTTTCAATGATAAAGATTTCGAAATATATTTTCTCAAAAAGTGGATAAAATCAAATTATTTTGTTCAATGTTTAGTTTGGTTCCACCATCCATAATAATTTAATTGAACTAGCAATTATTGTCAAAAACAACAGAAACAGATATTCTTGAGTAGAATATCTTATGAATAGTTTTATCATGATTTTTAAATCAATGAAAATACGTTTCTTCTGTTCAGCAGTTTCCACCTCTTAAAGGGATTGTACGCGATATTTCAAGTGACCCTCCAGGCAAAGATGGTAATGTCAGAGTAACAATGGTACCCTTGAAAGTGAAACCTTTATCTGATAAAATATGTGAAAGATTTTGCCGTTCTTCTAGGTTTAACAATTTTAATCCTGATAATTCCTTTATTAGAAATGCGTGATTATTTATTGCATAGAAACCACGATTGAAAATAATCAGTTTTCGATATTTTATACATAGATATTTAGATCAAACTTCAGACAAAGCTTTAAGCTTTTAAGGGTACACTTGTAAATTAGGCATTGCCATCTTTGCATGAAGGGTCACTTGAAGTTGCGCGGACAGTCCCTTTAATAATTAAATATACATACTTTGGTGCAGATACCATTGTTGACCAGAAAGCAATTTTCTATATTAGCATGTCCAGCCTCTTGTAGATCCTTTCTTAGATCTATAAACCTCGTCAGAGCACCCTCCTGACAATTGGTTTAATTTGTTATTTTGATATTTAAAAGTTTTAACCTTATCAAAGCTCTCTCAGATTTTATTTTAGGAAACATCTGTGTAATATTGAAGGAAATTCTAAACACTAAAAAAGAAAAAATAATTTCATTTTGGAAAATTTTATTAAATGGTCATTTTATACAGTGGCCAAATAATCATGAGAACTTCAAAAGATTTTATTTNGCAATGTATTGTACATGTGTAGGAAAGGTGCAATGTATTGTACATGTGTATGAAAGGTGCAATGTATTGTACATGTGTAGGAAAGGTGCAATGTATTGTACATGTGTAGGAAAGGTGCAATGTATTTTACATGTGTAGGAAAGGTGCAATGTATTGTACATGTGTATGAAAGGTGCAATGTATTGTACATGTGTATGAAAGGTGCAATGTATTGTACATGTGTAGGAAAGAATATAACCGATCAATTTTTAAAACTTTCATGTCTCTGAGCCTCGATTTTCTAAAAAATGTGAATGACAAAAAATACCGTGTCTTTAGCGCATTTTTGATCTTGATCCAGGATATATCCGTCCTGGCAGGTACACACTCCAGCTCCATATGGGTTTATTAGCAGGGTGTAGCCTTCATCACCACACGGAGACAAACCAAACCCGTCCCGGCCCTTAACGTTTAATATAATGAGTTTTTGCCATAAACTCTGATTTTCCAATCCCTATATTTTGCAACCCAATCTCGTGACCTTAGATATTTCAAACTAATTAGGTTTGATTGACTAATTTTTAAGTTTGAAATATTAAAGGGTTACACCATTAGGTTGCTATGATATAGAATTGAAAAATTTGAGTTTGTGGCAAAGACTCAAGTTCTCAACTCCTTTTAGTAATGTCTCTACGACTGAATAGTTCCATTATACGAATCACGCCAGTGTCATTCTAAATTTATTACTGGCTAGCTTTTATACTCACCTTTGCTTGGAAGCTGAATTTTCGGTAAAAAAGTCAATAAACAAAATTTAGAATTTTTGATCCAAACTAAGAACATTAAAGTGCATATTGGTTTTACTGTTTTCCCCAATCACATTTGAGACAAACTGGTCAAGGGGTTCCTGAGTTATGATCGGACATCCTAACAACCAAAAAGACACCCAAAGAGTGATGACTACCTTATAGCAGTGATCATAAATTGAACACATGAACACAAATTAAATACCTCATTATCTTGTTGAACACATGAACACAAATTGAATACCTCATTATCTTGTAAAACACATGAACACAAATTAAATACCTCATTATCTTGTTTAACACATGGACACAAATCAAATACCCCATTTTCTTGTTGAACACATGAACAAAAACTAAATACCTCATTTTCTTGTTGAACACATGAACACAAATCAAATACCTCATTTTCTTGTTGAACACATGAACAAGATTCCTCCCACCAAACTCCAAAAGAACACTTCTTATCTTTGCACCGCAGAACAGGCCTTAAAAAATAAGCATATATAATATCAGGGAAACCTCAAGGCTTAATAAATTTGAACCGCTTCGCTGAGCCGGTTCAAATTACGCGCTGGCTCAAACCTCGTAATACTGATTCAAATCATAAGTTGAACCAACCATATTTGAACCGCGTCAAATGTTTGACGTTGGCATATAGACACATTTCATATCATTCTTTAAATTCGGCCTCAGATTAAAAAATTTTGAGACAGGTCTAGATACAGTTCAACCACGTATCTTGGTTCATCTACATAGGGTCAAACGACATAAGGTCAAACAACCTAGAGTCAAACGACATAGGGTCAAAAACGCGACAAAGGGTAAATCGACAAAGGGTCAAAATGAAAAGAAATATTTTATGTAATATTTCAGGGTTAAGATAGTTAAGAAAATATTTGGGCCAAGTGCTGCGGCTAGGACAGGCTAGGGGGCCGTGCGCTGCGGCTAGAAGTTCAAATGAAAATAGAACATAACATAAAAATATGTATTATTTCTACGACAAGAAAATATTTGGGCCGAGCGTAGCGGCTAGGACAGGCTGTGGCTACTACTTCTTAAGAACATTAAAATAGTTCAAATATACCAAAAATAGTCTAAATTAAATTTTGCCCGTTTGTCGCACTATTTGACCCTTTGTCGTTTTACCATTTGTCGTTTTACCATTTGTCGCGTTTTCGACCGTTTGTCGTTTTACCCTTTGTCGCGTTTTTGACCGTTAGTCGTTTTACCCTACGGTGAGTATTTAAATCAACGTTAGGAAGGTAGTTAAGTGACCTAGCTCAAACTTATTAAATTAAATTTAAATAAAAAGGGACAAAGCAATAGTGAATTTCACTTAATTAGTGATTTAATAACTAAAGTGTGTAGTAAAACTATTTTGCTTATTAAAAACATCAAATACACTTGATTATTGCTGTAAAGTCGTCTTCCTACTTCAGAGTTTTCTGGTCATCACTGCACTTACATTTTTTCGAATAAAAAAAATGAGATTTCATTTCCCTCATCTAAATTCGGGGCAAATCGGTCCAGGGGTTCCTGAGTTATGATCGGACAAACAAACAGACAGACAAACAAAGATTACAACTTTATATATATATAAAACAGTGACTATATATAAGACTAGCTTGAAAATCCAGCCCAGCCAAAGTAACTTAAAATTACTCCCGCCGTTTACCCGCACTTGAACGATTTTACGGGAGACTAAATTTTCGCTATTAAAGTCAACCCACTCAACTTAGAATCTCAAAACCAAACTAAGAACATTTCCGTGGGTCTCCCAAGTTCCCCAATCAAAATTTGAGGCAAATCGCTCCAGGGGTTACTGAGATACGATCGGACAAACAAACAGACAGACAAACAAGGGTTACAACTTTATATATATAGATGTCAACCAGACCTTACCAGGAAGTGTATAATCTTTTTAGAAAAATCGGTTTAAATGAATGGGTTTAGAAGAAGGTGTTTAGAAGAATGGGTTTAAAAGAAGGAGTTAAGAAGAAGGGGTTTAGAAGAAGGAGTTTAGAAGAAGGAGTTTAGAAGAAGGAGTTTAGAAGAAGGGGTATAGAAGAAGGTGTTTAGAAGAATGGGTTTAGAAGAAGGAGATTGGAAGAAGGGGTTTAGAAGAAGGTGTTCAGAAGAAGGTGTTTAGAAGAAGGGGTTTAAAAGAAGGGGTTTAGAAAAAGTGGTTTAGAAGAAGGAGATTAGAAGAAGGGATTTAGAAGAAGGGGTTTAGAAGAAGGAGATTAGAAGAATGGATTAAGAAGAAGGGTTTTAGAAGAAGGGGTTTAGAAGAAGGGGTTTAGAAGACGGGGTTTAGAAGAAGGAGTTTAGAAGCAGGAGTTTAGAAGAAGGGGTTTAGAAGAAGAGGTTTAGAAGACCTGGATAAAACGACCTGCAAAAACGAGTTAAAGGTTGGATTTGGTTTTCTGCAATGATAACAAACAGTCTTAAAAGTGTCTTATATATATGATTTGGTAAAACAATAATTGTTATAAAGACTGTAAGAAATAATTGTCTCTAATAATCATAATGATAATAATAATAATAATAATGATAATAATAATGATCATATAATCTTAGTTTAGCGTGGTATACCTGGTAACATGATCCATTGATCCAAGGGAACATATAATCTTAGTTTAGTTTGGTATACCTGGTAACATGATCCATTGATCCAAGGGATTATATAATCTTAGTTTAGTTTGGTATACCTGGTAACATGATCCATTGATCCAAGGGATCATATCCTCTTTGCAAGGGTTTATGGCACAGTTTGCCTTTGCTTGTACAGGATAATTGTTAATAAAGGTTTCAAAATCAGATTCAGTTCCATTTCCATCCTCCCCAAACCTAATAAAAAGGAACTGAAAACTTGTCTCAAACTTTGATTTTCTAATCCTGATGTTATTGCAACCTGATGTTATACACCTTTGATATATCAATCATTCAATTCTCTTTAATCAAAGGTTTGCACATTAGGTTGCAAAGATGAAGGGATTAGAAAATTAGAGTTTGAGGCAGGTGTTTAGTTCCTTTCGTTGAGAAATTCAGTTCTATTTCTATCTTCACCAATCCTATTAAATATTTTTTTTAAGAAAAAAAATCAATCAACGCTTATTTTTTCAGAGACCTGTTTATGTTCAGTCCTAATGTTTGTCGGCAATTTCCTTTCGAGTCCTGATAAAAAAATATATCAAATTTTTTTTTTATATTTTGCCTTTTATGACTCAGAACAAATTGGTCCAAGTTATTTAAGTCTAAAGTTAGCAAAAATGCACTAAATACTTCTTTCATTCACTTTTGCATGGATTAAAATTCTATTAAAACTAGTTAAAATAATATGAAACTAGGCTTTTAAGATGATTTCTAAAAAAAATTAGTTGCTTGATGAGTGAGTGAGCATTTCACCAAATTGACGTTTATTGGATTGAAACAGACAGACAAACCTACAGACACACAGACAATTAGTTTAAGAGAATATATATATTACCTTGAAACATTTAACAACTTCAGCTCGTCTTTGATCATGAGGAATTAGATCAAATACTCTAACCTCTAGACCTTCTCTAGTATCCACACACTCTACAGTATCCGATACTAACTCCCAACTTAGTCCAGTATCACAGGGTCCCTAGTAAATAGTATTCTAGTATCCATACACTCTACAGTATCCGATACTAATCAATACACTCTACAGTATCCGATACTAGCTCCCAGCTTAGTCCAGTATCACAGGGTCCCTAGTAAATAGTATTCTAGTATCCATACACTCTACAGTATCCGATACTAGCTCCCAGCTCAGGGTCCCTAGTAAATAGTATTCTAGTATCCATACACTCTACAGTATCCGATACTAGCTCCCAGCTTAATCCAGTATGTCTATCTGTCTATCTATCTATATATCTATATATCTGTCTATCTGTCCATCTGTCTATTTGACCTGTGATCCAAGTGCATGGCAAATTCCTTGATTATCTTTAAAGAATCCAACTTCACAAGCACACTCGCCTAAAAAAGAAAGAAATCAACAAATTCAAATAAAACAAATAATTCTTTGATGATTTTTTTGGGTCAGAGAGGAGCAAAATGTAAAGTAATCAATTTTTTATTGTCCCCCTAAAGGGAGTGACCGGCTATGTATGGTAGTTGAGCTGAGTATGCAGTATTGTGGACAAATTCTTTAGGATTCATTTGAGACTTGTAAAACGTTTTAAAGATCTAAATTTACTGAGGTTGAGCGCAAAGTCGACGTTCAAAATCGTGAATTGGTTTGGGTACGTTTCAGAATTGGTCTTTTTGATTTTTTAACGAATTAAATTTCTTTTTATTTACAGTTTATTAATACATATAATTACGTATTACAGAAATCATTTCTGTAATATATTTAGTTAGTTTTTATTCCGAAACGTTTTCATATTGGCTGATTCAGATTACGTAAGTCGTAAATATTGTCTGTATTTACCGCAATACAAAACTTGTTTGTCCTGCCAGCGCCATCTTGAAAAATGCCGCACAACTTTTAAACTTTGAGTAGCGAAAATGTGAAATTTTAAAACTTTTAACACCCTAAATAAATTTAAAGTGAAAATATTATAATTATTTCGATGATTAGAGTTAGTTTTTATTTTCTCAACCTGTTACTAAACAATTAATTTATTTACTGTATAATTTTTTTTACATTTTTTGTCGTCGTTATTTAAAAAATTTAAAAAACCCGATTCTGTAAACGTACCCACCCGAATTTGAACGTCGATCTTGCGCTCAAACTCAGTAAATATAGATCTTTAATTCGTTTAATATGTCTCAAATAAATCCTAAAGAATTTGTCCACAATACTTCATACTCAGCTCAACTACCATACATGGCCGGTCACTCCCTTTAATACTTGAAACAAACCTTCTCCATATGGGTTTAGCACCATCCTTGATCTTTCTCCGCAAACCTCGAGAGGACTGTATCTTCCAGATCTAGTATTAAATTCGAGTTCAGAATTTTTAAATGGACAAAGACCGCATTAAAAGAATTTGAGCCAGCTCTCAACCTGCCTCCTGCCGGTTCAAATTTGAGCCACCGATTCAAATCCTTCCCTAATCTATAACTTTAAATCAGTGGTTCAAATTTGAACCGGCAGTAGTATAGTTCAGCGACATGGTCAGCTCAAATTCTTTAAATGTGGCCCTAGACCTGATTTAAAGGGACTATTAGGGTATTTTCCAGTGACCCTCCATTCAAAAATAGCACTGCTTGACTTACAATAGTACCCTTAAATACTATGTCTGATCAAGTATGAATTAGATATCAATGTTTATAATTCGGAAAACAAATTAATTTCAATTGTGTGCTCTTTTCAATTTATTGATACGGGGTAAAGGTTTCAAGAATACTGTTGTGAATCGGGCATTGCCATCTTTTCAAGGAGGCTTACTGTTTCTTTAAGTAAGGAATTTTAAATGGATGGTGTTTTTCGTCACAAAGTGAAAATTTGCTTTTAAAAGGAAATCTTATTGAATATTGATAAATGATTTAAAACCTAGATTGTGATTCTTACAATCTCAAAACACATTATCAGTTTTAAAACCTTCGACTTTATCAATAAAGATTGTGTGTTGGGCAATAGGGCGAAAAAGAAAAAATGCTAAAATTTTTTATTTAAATCTTGTTAAATTTTATCATTTAAATAATAATTTCGATCTTCTGTAATAAATATAACAAAGTGGTACAAAAAGATATATTTAACCTAATTGTATATCTATATTAATACACATTGACATAAAGCTATAATGTTATATATATATATTTTACCTAATTGTATATCTATATCAATACATTGACATAAAGCTATAATGCTATATATATATATATTTTACCTAATTGTATATCTATATCAATACATTGGCATAAAGCTATAATGTTATATATATATATATATATATATATTTTACCTAATTGTATATCTATATCAATACATTGGCATAAAGCTATAATGTTATATATATATTTTACCTAATTGTATTATCTATATCAATACATTGGCATAAAGCTGACCAGAATACTTGCTCTCCCACGGGGCAGGGAATCAGGGCACATCTACAGTAAAATTATATTAACATATATGGACTCACAGTAGGATCCATGAAACTGTGGTATAAGAAGATACGGTTAGCCTCATGTAATAATTTTAAATAGTTCAATGAAAATTAAACAAAGCAGTTGTGCTTGATTACTTACTTTGCTTTGGTCAAAATTCATATTGAATTACTCACTTTACAATAATTTGATAAAAAATTCTACAAATACTTACTTTACAATAATTTGATCAAAATTCTACAAAATTACTCACTTTAAAATAATTTGATAACTAATTATCCCAAATTACTCACTTTACAATAATTTGATCAAATATTCTACCAAATTACTCACTTTACAATAAGTTGATAAAAAATTCTACCAAATTACTCACTTTAAAATAATTTGATAAAAAGTCTGCTAAATTACTAACTTTGCTCTAATTGGTCCAAATTAATATAAAATAACTAACTTTGCTCTAATTGTTCATAATTCCTATCAAAATAAATACTTTGCATACATATATTGGTCCAAAAATTACTTACTTTGCTCTAATTGGTCCAAATTCTTATCAAATTATTCACTTTGCTCTAATTGGTCCAAATTCTTATTAAATTATTTACTTTGCTCTAATTGGTCCAAATTCCTATTTAATTACTTACTTTGCTGTAATTGGTCCAAATTCTTATTAAATTACTTATTTTGCTTTAATTGGTCCAAATTCCTATTTAATTACTTACTTTTTTCTAATTGGTCCAAATTCTTATTAAATTATTTACTTTGCTCTAATTGGTCCAAATTCCTATTTAGTTACTTACTTTGCTCCAATAGGTCCAAATTCTTATTAAATTACTTACTTTGCTCTAATAGGTTTTGTACTGTTAAGAATCAACCACTGAGAAGCATAGATTATAAGTTATTAAGTAAGAACAAAATAAATTTAAAAATACATTTTTCTATGTTTTTTAAAAATATTTTTTGTAATCTTGTTTCCGTTCCTGTCCGTCTTGGCAAGGTCCCTTAAAAATAAATCATTTTTCTAGTAAACAATTCTCTACACAAAATGATTGATTTTCTTTAATTCTACAGATTGTCCCAATAAACTTTGTAATTGAGAGACGACTTGAATATCGTCTTTGATTTCCAATACTTGAAAAATTACATTGAAAATCCATTGAGTTTTTCAAAATGTCTATTTTCTTTGTATACTTAAAATTGACCGAGATATTAAACAATTGAACAGTTTTGTTGATTTTTAATAAACTGGAATCTGGACAAAATTCCTAATTTTCCGTCAATTTTGAAGTTGACTGAAAAAAATACCACATTTTTTATTAGTAGTATTTTTTTATTAGTATTTTTAGGTGATAAATGTTCTAAATGTGATAATACAAAATTATGTTTACTAAATAATCCCGCTTGTAACAAAGCGATATAGAAGTCGTCATTTAATTCCCATGTTTTTGGGACACCCTGTAAGATTTTTTTTTTTTTTTTAAGATGATTTTTTGCCTGATCCAATAAGCTGTAGCAATTTCCATCTTCTGGCCAAAATATCTAAAAGTTGAAAATTAGAAAATAACAGTTTTTTCTCGCATTTGAGAAATATCTGACACCATCATTTATATTTATAACTTAATAAAAAAAATTGATTAAATTTCTAAATTTTATTTAAAAGTAAAAACAAGAAATTGTAATTTGGTTTTGTTATTTAGGGTTAGGTTAGGTTGAGATACTTTCTGGGCCGAGCGCTGCGGCCGCGGGTTAGGTTAGTTAAGACACTTTCTGGGCCGAGCGCTGCGGCTAGGATGGGCTAGGGGGCCGAGCGCTGCGGCCACGGGTTAGGTTAAGTTAAGAAACTTCCTGTCACACCCATGTACAAAATTGATAGGAGGGGGGGGCCTGGGGGGGGGGTCCAAAAATCGTATACTAGGAAATTACCGTTATTTTTTGTGTGTTTTTTTTGCTCGTCTTTTTTCAATTTGTTTACATTTTTTATATTTATGTATTACAGTGAAAACCAGAAAACTCTGGAATAGGAAGTCGACTTTTAGACTCAAGTTATGACATGTCCAATGAACATGAGACACACAAAATGTGCAATGTAAACAGACCAATTTCACTTCATAAGAGATTTAAAGACTTACTAGTAAAGCTATTTGCTTTGTAACAGCATCAAATATACTTCAGTTTTGCATGACACCTTCCTATTCTACAGTTTTCTATAGTTATTACTGTAGTTTTCATTGGAAATTGTAAAATTCAAACGAAAACAGAAACGATGCCATTTGTAACTGATTTTAAGAACTCTGTCATAAATTACCAAAAAAGGATTGATAATACCTGATCCACATGATTACAGATCTCATCTGAGTTTTCAGTTTCATTATTCTCCAGGATCTCTCCAATAGGTTCAGACTCATCTCCAAAAGCAATGTTATCATCAGAGTTGACGGTTTTGATTCTTGGTGATGATGTTGTTATTGTTTTAGAGGATATATTTGGACCTGGCAGTATGGTACGGACACCTGAATAGAATTGTCAAATGTAAATATTATCTCAGTAACAAAAAGGAAGATGTTGTAGCTTTTCTTTCACGATAGTGCAAAAATCTGTCAATTTATTTTTAACATAAACCACAGTATAAAATGCTTACTTTGAGTACATTTAGCAGCATAGTCAGCTCGGGAGAATATCAATATCTCTCCAGTATTACATGGACCTCTGGAAAAGAAAGAAATTAAATGTCTAAAAAAATATGAATCCAATTATGAATTTGGCCTTTGAAAGACTTAAAGGGAGAGAGCAGCTAGGTACAGTTAAACCCTAAATCTATATATAAATTTGGCTTGTCTGTTTGGGTGTCTGTTTGTTTGTTTGTATCCAATAAACGTCAAAACGGCTGAACCGATCGGGCCCAAATTTTTTGTGGGACCTCACGTGACCACAGGGAAGGTTTATGAATAATCAAAATTTCAAATATTTGTCTCCATCAAAATTCGATCTTCATTAAATTTTTGAAAATTTTGAAAATCCACGAAATTTTTTGTGAAAATCCGCGAATTATTTTTGTTTTGTTTTACGATGTACACAAAGAGAACATGTTCACAATTAATTTAGAAGATGGGTGCGAAGCGCCCTCTAAGTCATACTTCGAGAGAATTTATCAAATGTCATCTTGACAATTTTTTAATGGGTTTTATACTATTTTACGTAAATCCCAATGTTTGCGAAAATAAATAGATAGCCATGAATATGCGGGAACAGTTTTAGAAAGCTCCATATAATCATTTAATCAAAAAACTAAATATCTGCAACATTCCATTATCAGAAAGTGAGAAATACGACATTTGGTGAATTCTTTCGATTTATGGCTTATTTAGGGTTTAACTGTAACATATTTGAACCTAGAGTGCAGTAATATAAAGAAACAATTTAGGATTCATTTGATACCAATGAGACGTTTCAAATATGTTCGTTTGTAAAATTTTACCAAAAGGGATGGTCCGCAGACTGGAGGACGAAATATTAAACATTGAAAACTGGTTTCAATATATTTTTAGAATTATGTATTAAAGGGAGTGTCTGGCTAGACATGTTAGTTGAGCTGAGAATACAGTTCTGTAGAGAAATTTTTTAGCATTCATTTGAGACCTATCATACGTTTTACGGTGCAAGAGCGCAAATTCAATCTTAAAAATCCTCAAAGATTGTTCATTCTGGAGAGATGATTTTAATGATCGGTGTTTTGAAAAAATATACAAAAACGACGAAGAAAAATGTAACACAAATTTTAAAGCGAACTTATTAGATATTTAGGATCATTTTTCTTAACTTAATTTAGTCGGTAGATCAATGTTAGAATCAATTCTGTCTTTTTCATTACAATAGTGATTTTTTTTATTCTTCACGAATTTGTTCACAGATTTCTTCAAATTCTTCAAAAGTCGTCTTTTTTATAATTCTATATTGAATTTATACCTTTCTCCGAGTGTATAACATTTTCCATCCTTCTTCCAGAATATCGTTGGTTCAACACAGGAGGAGAAATCTATAGTTGGAACAGTTCTCAAGTAGAAGCTTGGGATTAAATAAAGGGACCTACCCCCAAATTTGAAATAATACTTTAAATACAGTTCTCTACACCAGGGTTGTGATTCAAATAAAGAGACTGATCTCCAAATTCCAAATTTAAATTTATGCAGATAATGGGAGTTTTCCATGAAGAAAACTATAGCTGAGAAGTTTTCCTAAAAATGTTTGCGTAGTTTCCTCCGCATGATACAAGATATGGGATACAACCTAAACAAAGGATATAGATACAGAATATGGGATACAACTTAAACAAAGGATATGGGTACAGGATATAGGATACAACCTAAACAACGGATATGGGATAAACCTAAACAAAGGATATGGGATAAACCTAAACAGAGGATATTTAATACAGGATATGGGATACAACTTAAAAAAGGATATGGATACAGAATATAGGATACAACCTAAACAGAGGATATGGATACAGGATAGTGGATCCAACCTCAAAAAGGATATGGATACAGAATATGGGATACAACCTAAACAAAGGATATGGATACAGGATATGGGATACAACCTAAACAAAGGATATTGATACAGGATATGGGATGCAACCTAAACAAAGGATATGGATACAGGATATGGAATACAACCTAAACAAAGGATATGGATACAGGATATGGAATACAACATAAACAGAGGATATAGATACAGGATATGGAATACAATCTAAAGAAAGGATATGGATACAGGATATGGCATACAATATAAACAAAGGATATGGATACAGGATATGGGATACAACCTAAAGAAAGGATATGGACACAAGATATGGGATACAACCTAAACAAAGGATATGGGTACAGGATATGGGATACAAACTAAACAAAGGATATGGGATAAACCTAAACAAAGGATATGGGATAAACCTAAACAGAGGATATTAATACAGGATATGGGATGCAACCTAAACAAAGGATATTGATACAGGATATGGGATACAACTTAAACAAAGGATATGGATACAGGATATAGGATACAACCTAATCAAAGGATATGGATACAGGATATGGGATACAACCTAAACAAAGGATATGGATAAAGGATACAGGATACAACCTAAACAGAGGATATGGATACAGGATATGGGATACAACCTAAACAAAGGATATGGATACAGGATGTGGGATACAACCTAAACAAAGGTTATGGATACAGGATATGGGATACAACCTAAACAGAGGATATGGATACACGATATGGGATACAACCTAAACAAAGGATATGGATACAAGATATGGGATACAACCTAAACAAAGGATATGGATACAGGATATGGAATACAACCTAAACAAAGGATATGGATACAGGATATGGGATACAACCTAAAGAAAGGATATGGATACAGGATATGGAATACAACATAAACAGAGGATATGGATACAGGATATGGAATACAATCTAAACAAAAGATATGGATACAGGATATGGTATACAACATAAACAAAGGATATGGATACAGGATATGGGATACAACCTAAAGAAAGGATATGGACACAAGATATGGGATACAACCTAAACAAAGGATATGGATACAGGATATGGGATACAACCTAAACAAAGGATATGGATACAGGATATGGGATACAACCTAAACAAAGGATATGGATACAGGATATGGGATACAACCTAAACAAAGGATATTGATACAGGATATGGGATACAACCTAAAGAAATGATATGGATACAGGATATAGGAGACATCCTAAACAAATTTTTAAAACTCTTTTTAAACATTCAGATGTTCACATTGAAGAGACTGGAAAACAAAACTTTGATTTGATTAATATCTAATTTAAAAATGATTATGTCACAACACATTTATTTAATTTAATGAAACATTAAATCAGTTATAAAAAATATTTATAATAATGACAGTAATTTAAATAAATTATAAATCAATTGAAATTATAATAGTTTAAGTTGTCCCTGAATTATAAAACTATTGTTTAAAATTTGACAAATCATGAATTGGCAAACTGCAATTCTTGACAAACAAACAAGTTTTCTAATCCCATCATCTTTGCANCCCAGCAGCTGTAAATATGTTTCTTCTTGTTTTGCACTAATGGTTCCCAGCAGCTGTAAATATGTTTCTTCTTGTTTTGCACTAATGGTTCCCAGCAGCTGTAAATATGTTTCTTCTTGTTTTGCACTAATGGTTCCCAGCAGCTGTAAATATGTTTCTTCTTGACCAAATCATTTAATATAGAATTAGAGCAAAATATTAAAGACTAGAATCCGAATTTAGCTCTCAGTCCTTTGTATTTAAAGGGACCGTTCACTTATTTGGGTAAACTGAACAGCCTATTCGCCTATTTAACAATTATTAGCTCGTCATTTTGTGAGTAGCCCTGCAGTTTGTTGATAACCAATTGTTTTTATCTAGTATATGCAATATAACTTTAAATAACTCTATAATGTGTATCCTCTTTCAATCACATCTTCACGTCTTTCAAAATCAGGCTCTTAACATTTACATTCTCTTTTCTAAATATATTTGTAGAACCTTTATGATTAAAATGTATACCCGGTAACATGACATTTTATGTGGCGGCTCTATAAAAAGCTATGTTCTAAGGGCACTACAAACCAAGATGTGCACGCTCTCATGCAAAAATCGAGCATTATTATGCTAATTACACCTTTGAAATTTAAACTAGAAACAAGCGTGTTAAATGTTTAACATGTATAACCTAAGGCTACAAAAGAGTATATATAAGTAGTTGTTGTACTTTACAGTCGAGACTGTCTAGAAATTTGATGACAAACTTTCAGAGATATCTATATCTCAGTGAGGGTCAAACCAATCTCTTAACTCATATACTTTATACATTTTTTCAATAGATATCTCTATCAAATATATTGGCTACTCTATAAATCTTTATTCTTTCCTTATCTTCAATGTCAGCACTATAAATATCTAACCTCTCTGGACCTTATATTTACTGCCGACTCCAGAAATATTTCTCCTCTCCTGGCATTTATTTTATTGTCGAATGTCGACTCTATAAATCACTATCCTATCTGGATCTTCTTTTCACTGTCGACTCTATCAATTTCTATCCTCTGGGCCTTATCTTTACCCTGGACTTCGTAAATTTCTTTCTGTAACTCTCAGTACTCTAAAAATGTATATTCTCTCTGGACTCCGTCTTTTCATGGAGACAGCAACAGTTAAACTAAGTGAAGAGTAAACTAAATAAAACCTAATAAAACTAAACTGGAAAAACCGGTATCTGATCAACCGATCTTGAGGAAACGAACCTAAGATTTTTTTGACATAAAAATACTAACCATAGATGGGTTTTCGATATAAAAAAAACCTGTTCGATGTAAAAAATGGTTCCTTGAGATTTTGTAGATTTTGTAGGAGTTATGGCGGGAAACATGGTAGGTTTAGAGCTAGATCACAGATCTTAACACGTCAAAACCTTGCAATAAAAGGTTCGTTTTCTTCAGGTTGGTTTGCATTGCATAAAAACCTGCCTATTCTCAAAACTGGGGTTTCTACGTACATGAATCTCTACTGCAACAGATGTAAAACAATGGAAAAACAGAAATAAATAAATCTCAAAAAAAATAAAGAGAACAGGGACAAAACAAAAAAGAAGCAAGAACATAGGATGTTAAAATATGCAATTTATATTTTCAAAAATTTTCGAAAGATTTTTTTATACTTTCAGAGCAAAAATAGCAGACCAATGTTTTACAACCTACACAGCCATTTTGTATATGTATGGATGAATAATTTTATATTTTTGTCTGTATTATTGCAGTATACATTTCATATTCAAGCATATATAATTATATAATTAAGTAGGGAGAAACTAGACCTTTACAGAATTATAAGCGTAAAATTACTGGAAACACGGATTTTTCGTCCTGCAGTTTGATTTATTTAATCAGTCGTTAATAGAACACTCAACGGTGACATATTTATTACCGCGGACACATTGGGAGAAGGTCAAATTTTTTTCGGACACAACTTTGTGACCTCGTAGCTCCTTCAGTTTTGATTTTTCGTTTTTTAGTATCAGAAAAGCAATTTTTTCCGATTCCGATAAAAAGAAATAAACAAATTAGAGTGTAGAATGTAAAGTGTAGAGTGTAGAGTGTAGAGTGTAGAATGTAGAGTGTAGAGTGTAGAGTGTAGAGTGTAGAGTGTAGAGTGTAGAGTGTAGAGTGTAGAGTGTAGAGTGTAGAGTGTAGAGTGTAAAGTGTAGATGTAGAGTGTAGAGTGTAGAGTGTAGAGTGTAGAGTGTAGAGAGCTACAGTGAAAGTGTAGAGCTAGAGTGAAAGTGTAGAGTGAAGAGTGTAGAGTGTAGAGTGTAGAGTGTTGAGTGTTGAGTGTTGAGTGTTGAGTGTAGTGTAGAGTGTAAAGTGTAAAGTGTAAAGTGTAGAGATAGAGTGTAGAGTATAAGAGTGTAAAGTGTAAAGCGTAAAGTTTAAAGCGTAAAGTGTAGAGCTAGGTTTTTTCGTAAAGATCAACCATTAATATTGAATATCTTAATTCCAAAAGTACACTTGTTTGGAATCTAATATATGATTCCAACTGTGTTTACAAATCGCTACTAAATAGTTATTTTCAAAATAATCTGATACTACGTTATTTCGTCATGGTCACCCCCCCCCCCGGAGTCATGAACCCAAGACGTGATACCGTAAACATGAAATTCTGCATGAACAAATCATACGCAATGCACGCAAATCAAATTTTATATATATATATTACATATGCTATTGTGGATTACAAAATATGACCAGTAAATAATATATTCAATTAAGTCAATTATGATAATTTTTTAACATTTGTGTTTCTCTACACTGCACTCTTCTAATTTGAACCCAAAAACAAATCATTTTAATTTTGATAAACTAAACATCTGTAGTTTATAAATCGATAGTTTGAATGTCAATTATATTATATTTGTTACATTTCATATTCATAGGAGCTCGTTCAAGTTACTATTATATAACTTTGTGACCTCGTAGCTCATCTAGCTTTGATTTAATGCACAAGTCTGAGAAAGGCATCAGGTTCGGCGGTTACATATCACGTGGATTTAACGGTTCTGTCAATATGCAAGAAATCTGTGACTTTCGATCACAGTTTGACCCATTAAACATATTTTTGGGCCTTTTTTCTTAGATACTTTTTTCGGCATATGCATTTTGAATGAAAAAGTCTAGAATAAACAAATCCGTAAGGTAAAAGAATGTTGAATTATAGACCAAAATACGTTTTATCTCAAAAAGAAGAAACCGAATACTGCTCAATTGGTAATTTAAAACATTTTTATTCTTCTCAATTGCTCTTCAATAATAGGAGTTATGATTGTCAACAAAAAAATAACCATTTAAAATTAAACATTTTTAAACCGAATATATAATCATTTTTTATAATAAAATTAACCTTTTTTAAATATATTTTATTTTAAAAATTGTTTAGCTTAAAATTATAACCATTTGAACCAAAAATACAACCATTTTTTAACCAAACATATAACAATTTATTGTCTTAAAATATAATCCTTTTTCTACCAAAACTTCTTCTTCTTCAAACTTTTATTCACGAAAAAGAAAAAGATACATTTAAATAAATAATTCTTTAAAACATACAATTATATATATTAAAAAACTATAAGATTAGAATTTATATATTTTGCTTATCTCAATTTACTCTCTATGTATATATATGGTTTTATGAGATCAATAATAACAAAACCAGCCCCGTTCTGACAAATATAAAATTTTTCTACCAAAACTATATATACTGCCATTTTTTAACCAACAATATTTCCATTCTTGAACCAAAAAAATACAACTATTTGTTATCCAAAAATATAACCATTTCTTAACTAAAAATATAGAAAAACTGAGTTTTTAACCAAAAACATAATATTTTTACCTTTAAATTTAACGTTTTTCTAAAGATGAGAATAAATTTTTATTATTGCGCAAATGTGATTTCTCTGAATCTATATATAAATTTGGCTTGTCTGTCTGTCTGTCTGTCTGTCTGTTTGTTTGTATCCAATAAACGTCAAAACGGCTGAACCGATCGGGCCCAAATTTTTTGTGGGACATCTAGGGACCCCAGAGAAGGTTTATGAAAAATCAAAATTTCAAATATTTGTCTCCATCAAAATTCGATCGTCATTAAATTTTTGAAAATTTTGAAAATCCGCGAAATTTTTTGTGAAAATCCGCGAATTATTTTTGTTTTGTTTTACGATGTACACAAAGAGAACATGTTCACAACTAATTTAGAAGATGCGCGCCCTCTAAGGCTAGAAAGAAGGGCGCGAAGCGCCTTGAATTTCTAGTATTAAAAAAAATTGTTCGATGAATAAACAGAAAATGTTCTAGTTAATATAAGAAACTTCGCAGTTTACGAAGATTGAGTGTCAAGTATCCATCTCTTACGCGCAGGATGTACACATTCATTTCTTTTCATTTATTTTCTATAATATGAAAACTTCGAAGATCGGCGGAATTTTATTTTGCTTAATTGTCCCTTGGGACAGTTATGTAACTTAACATACCGTTAATGTTGGGGAGTCGTAGAGACCTGTAATATTAGTCAAAAGAAGGTAAAATTCATAATGGTTTTAGGAAATTGATGATTCAAGACGACCTTTAATACTATCGTTTCAGAAGTTTACAATGCAAAATGATTTCTGTATAGCAGGAGTTCTCTACATTTTTTCTGTTCTTCAAGGGAAATATATGGCTATGATTAATATACTTAAATCCGCTAAAACCACAATTGAAAATTAACAGTTTTCAGAAAGCAAAATAATGGATATCTTTGAAATGTTTGTTGGCAATTGAAGGGCATTATATTGTAGCTTTCATTTCTTTACTTAATATCCTTGAAATTACATTGACTAGTCCATTTTAATGCTTTTAACTGCAAGATGAAATCCATTTATCTAAATATTGGTTTAGTAAGCGCAACAACTGATCTTACTTATGAGAATGGACATGAGTCAAATAGAGGTAAAATTTTTAAGAGAAATTTCTGTGTTTCACGTTCATTGAAGGAATTGAAGTATTCAAAATCTTAACTTAAGTCTAGCAGTCAGGAAGTTTTTTTATGGTTGGCGCACTGGGTCCAAAAGGGTGCAAAGTCTTTATTACACTTAAGATAAATCACTTATATTAACTTGAATTTAATCTTACAAGGGGGGGGGGCTCATATATAGGCATAAAATATGCTGAAACAGTTTTAAAGGGCTTAATTAAATACTCAATTAAAAAACTAAATATCTGCAGCATTTCATCATTAACTTGTTAATAGGTAGAAAACGACATTTTATAAATTCTTTTGATGTCTCCAAAGTTTAGGTTTTTAAGCTGTAAGATTGTAACTGGTATATCCCTTAACAGCGCAGGTTTTTATACTGCGGGGTTGATGAATTAGAAGATTCTGGAACGTTCTTGAAGGATTAGACCTGGACAACTTTCGTAGATTTTAAAGATGTCAAAAAATATATAAAAATCAAACTTGGATAATAGTTTCAAGAACTTTGAAAATAAAATATCTAAGTCAATTAGAGTTGCTTGCTTTTTTATAATCGTTCTTTTTCCATTATGGTTCATCTGTTCAAATGTTTCTGAATGGACTTTACTTTTTCTACATTCTCTCTCAAGAAGTGGATCATAAAAAACATAGTCAAACATTTCAGTTTTTCCTTTTTTCAACTTTGATGATAAAAGACGATTTATAATTTGCATCTTTTTCATTTTAAAATTTGTGAAAACTTTGTTGTTTAGCATTACAAGATGATTTAGTCAATGTTCCAGCTGTACTTCTCATCATAGCTCTCT